TAAAATATGTTTTAAAAAAAAGAAAAAGAAATCAGCTGAAAGTCATATGGGCACTCCCTTGTAGGTAACTATTTTTCTCTTGCTGCTCTTAAAATTCTTTGTCTTTTACCCTGGGCATTTTAATTATGGTATGTCTTGGTATGGTTCTCTTTGGATTCCTTTTGTTTGGGGTTCTCTGTGCTTCCTAGACTTGTAAGTCTATTTCTTTCACCAGGAAGAGGAAGTTTTCGGTCATTATTTCTTCAAATAGTTTTTCAATATCTTTCTCTTTCTCTTCTTCTGGCACCCCCATTATTTGAATTTCGGTATGCTTGAAGTTATCCCAGAGGCTCCTTACACTATCTTCATATCTTTGGATTCTTTTTCCTTTTTGTTCTGCTGGTTGGGTGATTTTTGCTTCCTTGATTCTTGGGATCTTCTAGTCTACTGTTGAATCCATATATTAATCCATATATTATTCTTTATTTCAGTCATTGTATGATTAATTTCGGACTGGTGCTTTTCCATTTTTTTTTTCTTTTTTGGCATTCTCACTAAGATCCTTGAAGGTTTCACTAAATTCCTCGAAGGTTTCCAGAAGATTCTTGAGTAACCTTATAACTGTAGTTTTGAACTTTATATACAGTAATCTCGAGTTGATAAACTGGCCTTTTGTAGTAGTTGTCCTATAGGGCCCCGTGGCCCAGCCCTAATCATCTAATGTGGACACTCTTGGTGTACCCCTTTGTGTGCTGTGTGCAGTTTTGTTGTAGTTGACCCTTGATTGCTATTGGTGTCACTAGGAGTACCTAACCTCCAGGCCAATTGGCTATGGGGACCAGCTGCGACTACAGTGGGAGAGCTGCTGTGCAAGAGACACCCTATGGGGTAGGACTTGCTTCAGTAGGGCTTTGGTGCTTAGAATCTGCCCCTTGAATGTGTCACTTATTGATGTGAAGAGTTGTAATCTGATATGGTCTCACATTGACCACTGGTACACTAGATCTTGGGGCTCTAGGGAGGTGCAAAGTCAGCCACTGCCTGGGGCCATCCAACAGGACCTACAGAGAGATCTGCAGATTATCCCTCTTTGTATTGGGTTTGGAAGTGTCCAGACAAGGCCCACCTATGAAGCAAAGCAGTCTGGTGCTGGTGCAGTCATTGGGCCTTTTACTGATATGTTTAGGGCTCCCTAACCTAGCTGCAGCTGGTTTGATAAGCTTTAGGCTGAGAAAGGAAAGACCATTCATATGCAAAAGCCGATGTCCACAGCTTGGGTGGGGTTGTAAATTGGGTGGGGCAGGGTCTCAGGGAATCTCCAGGGCAGAACAAATAGCAATGACTGCCAGTCAGCCCCAGACAAGGGAGGTCCCAGCACTGGGAGCACTTCCGTCTGGAAGAAAGCCACCCCCGAGTTCCTGCCCCAATGCTAGACAGTCCAGTTTCTCCCCATATGTGTCTCGGTCCCCCAGAGTCTCGTCCTGCGCTGGAGTTCAGAGCCAGTGGAGCTTATAAATTCAGTTTGTGGTGCAGGCATTTTAAGAAGAGCAGCTGGGTCTCAAGCAGCCTGTGTGTCACTCAGCCCCAATTCATACTGCTTTCTTCCATTTTTACATTACTGCCAATAGATATATTGCCAATAGACTTCTTTCCCCAGCTCTGGAACCCCTCGCTCCTCTAAGTAGCCTCCACAGAGGCAATCTCCCTCCTGATTAAAAAGGCGGCACACCCAGGTGCCATACCAGTCCCTTCCACACCTCCGCACCTCCTACCAGTCTCAATGTGCTTTCTTCTTTACCTCTCTAGTTGCAGTACTTCCACTCAGCCAGCTTTCCCACAGTGCTGGATGATAGTTGGTCTGTATTTTAGTTGCAATTTTGATTTGGTTGTGGGAGGCAGCAAGTACAGGCATTTATCTATGCCGTCATCTTGGTTCTCTGTTTATAGCTCTTTTTCTTGTATCAATATTTTTGCTGATATATCTCTTAGGGCAAGGGAAACAAAGGGAAAAATAAACAAATGAACTACATCAAACTAAAAAGCTTCTGCACAGCAAAGGAAACTATCAACAAGATGAAGAGGGAATCCATTGTATGGGAGAACATAGTTGCCAATGGTACATGAGGTAAGAGTTTAATTTCCAAAATATATAAATCATTCATACAATTCAACAAAAGAAATATAAACAATCCAATTAATAAATGGACAAAGGACCTGAATAGACACTTCTCTAAAGACGACATACAGATGGCCAATAGATATATGAAAAAAAAAAAAAAAAAAGCTCAATGTCACTAATCATCAGAGAGATGCAAATTCAAACTATCATGACGTATCACCTCACATATGCTAGAATGGTTATCATGAATAAATTGACAAACAACAAGTGCTAGTGAAAATGTGGAGAAAAGGAAACTGCTAGTGGGAATGCAGACTGGTGTAGTCACTGTGGAAAACAGTATGGAGTTTCCTCTAAAAATTAAATATGGAACTGCCTTTTGACCCAGCCTTCCCACCCTGGAAATGTAGCCTAAGAATACTGAAACCAATCAGAAAGAATGTATGTATCCCAATGTTCATAGCAGCAATTTTTATACTTATCTACTAAAAATAGCCCAAATACCCATCCTATATAATAAAACTCTGATATGTAAATTGACCAAATGGCATAAGGACTGGTGTAATGACTGGGCACTATGACATGCAATGACCACCAGGGGGCAGATGCTCAATGCAATGAACTGCCCATGTCCAGCATCTGCCCCCCAGAGAGGAAGGTGACTGGCGGTGGCAGAGGTGGAGCCAGCAAGTGGGAGGTGCCAGGCTGCCAGACAAGGTGGGTGCCAGCTGGGGCCCCCAATCACCCTGCTGGTTGCCCCACAAAGGGAGGCAATCAGTGGCTGCAGCAGGGAACATGGCCGGCCAGCGGGCAGCACCAGGTTGCCAGCCAAGGCGGGTGCCAGCGGGGACCCCCGATGGCTCTGCCCACCAGTCGCACCACAGATCAGCCCGGATTGCCGGCCAGGCCCTAGGGACCCTACCCAATATATTGGGAACAGTCTCTTAGATTTAAAAATTAAAACCTGGCAAAGGCTATTCTATAACAACACTGAAAAAACAGGATGATGCAGCGATGACATGCATGGACTCTGGCTTGCACATTTTGCGGTCAGCCCTTATTCTGACACTTATAACTGTGTGACAAAGCAAATTACTTAACTTCTCTCTGCTTCAGTTTTTCCATCCATAAGATGCGGAAAATGGTACTACTGCCTCAGCATAACTACTTTTTATAACCGGGGCAAAAAAATGTAGCTGACATACAATAGCAAGATGCCTTTTACCTGTATGAAAAGTATGGTCCCTGATGCATGCAGCATCCTGGATTCTGAGAGGGATGTCCAACTGTCGGTTTAGGCCCAACATCCCCTGAGGGCTCCCAGATTATGAGGGGACACAGGTCAGGCTGGGGCCTCTAAGAGTGAATAATCTTGAACATAGAGAGTTTCTAATTTAAAAGTTCAATATATTATGCTATGGAGACATAAAAAACTACATCTAATTTTAGAAATTAATACTCCTTAACAAGTGATTCAGAAAATATATAAAACTGGTATTTGTGTTATTTCATGCAAATATAAATCATGAATATCCAGTTAATTAAGTAAATATGTACTGGAAGAATTTGACTTATTTACAACTTTAATATATCATTTTGCCCAGCCAGTGTGCTCAGTGGTTAAGCACTGACCCATGAACCAAGAGGTTACCAGTTTGATTCTGGTCAGGCACATGCCTGGGGTTGCAGCCTTGATTCCCAGTAGGGGGCATGTAGGAGCAGCCTACTGATGTTTTCTTTCTCATCAATGTTTCTCTCTATTTCTCTCCCTTCCTGTCTCTCTGAAAATTAAAAATAAACGTATTTTAAAAAATAAATATATCATTTAATTAAATGAATTTAAGTGCCCTCCTTTCATTTATTTGTATTCCAAGCAAGATAGCTGGCAAGTTTTTTAAAAGGAAAACAAGACTTAAGAGAGGTGGAAAGGCCGAAACCGGTTTGGCTCAATGGATAGAGCGTCGGCTTGGGGACTGAAAGGTCCCGGGTTCGATTCTGGTCAAGGGCATGTACCTTGGTTGCGGGCATATCCCCGGTAGGGGGTGTGCAAGAGGCAGCTGATCGATGACTCTCTCTCATCGATGTTTCTAACTCTCTAACTCTCTCCCTTCCTCTCTGTACAAAATCAATAAAATATTAAAAAAAAAAAAAAAAAAAAAAAGAGGTGGAAAGGTGGACACAAACAACAAAACCTTGGGTATGGCTGAATGGAACCGTGTTTACCACTAGCTAGTTAAACTAGTTAGTGTATTCACATGAAGCAGGTAAGCTGCTCAACTGACAATCTTTCTATACCCTTCCTTCCTAGTAATATATCACATGTTCTGAGACTCTGGGCCAAGAAGCACATGAACTGCTATGCTACATCAATGTAACCGCATGTGATAGTGAAAACAGGGAATTTAGTAGATAAGACATTCAGAGGCAGAGGCGGGTGACCTGGTTGCATAAATCCATGGATCCTGATGAAACACTTATAGAAAGATGGCAGCTGACCCTTAAACTAGAAGGTAGAGTTTTCAGAAGCAGGAGGAGCTTAGGACTGCCTGCTTTATTTAATGTATATTTCACAATGTCTAAAACAGGAACATTTTATATCTCATTTTGAATCAAAACATTCTTATAAAAAGAGCAATAATGAAAAGGTAAAACGCTTCAGATGTATGTTTAAAACAGGCAAAACTGGTTCTATCAAAATTGGATTTCTTTCACTCACACTAAATTCAGAATTTACCAACAAAAATGTATCCCTCTCCTCTGTTACAAGTGTCAAACATCTAGTTTATCGATATGAAAATTGAAAAGAAAAATAAATAGAAAAATATGGCATAATTTTTTCCTATAATTGAAATGGCTTATCTACATTTTCTAAAAATTGGAGCAATGACACAAAATACAATACCTTCTGGAAGTGTTTCTCCGAAATGTTAAAATAATGAGTCCTGAGAACAGAGCTCTGAAATAGCTCACAATCCAAACATTTCCTGAAAATTAAGAGAAATAAGTATTACTTCAAGTGCATTTTATCTTTTAAAAAATAGTTTGTTTTACAACAAAATCCTAACTACTGACTGAAATAAACTAACTCAGAAAACAAACAAGATTTATTGCAAGATCAAAATATTCTTAACTATACATACTTTCCTTGGGCATAGCTGATGACCAAATCTGATTTTAAAAATCTGCATTATAAGACTGGTGCAACCACTGTGGAGAACAGTGTGGAATTTCCTCAAAAAACTGAAAATGGAACTCCCATTTGATCCAATAATCCCACTCCTAGGAATATATCCCAAGAAACTAGAAACACCAATCAGAAAGGATATATGCACCCCTATGTTCATAGCAGCACAATCTACAATAGCCAGAATTTGGAAACAGCCTAGGTGCCCGTCAGCAGATGATTGGATCCAAAAACTATGGTACATCTACACAATGGAATACTATGCTGCCATAAAAAAGAAGGAATTCTCATCATTTGCAGCAACCTGGATGGAATTGGAGAACATCATGCTGAGTGAAATAAGCCAATCAATGAAAGAGAAACACCACATGACCTCACTCATTTGTGGATAATAAAGATCATTATAAACTGATGAACCAAAAGATAGATATAGAGACAGTAAAGCAACAAGCAGATTGTCAAATTTCAGTGGGGAGGGGAGGAGGATCTGGGGGAGATAATAGATCAACTGAAGGACTTGTATACATGCATATAAGTACAACCAATGGACATAAAGCTCTGGGGAGGGAGGGGATGGGTGGGAGGGAGGGAGGGGGGAAAATAAAATAAAATTAAAAAAAAAAAAAAGATATCTGAAGATGAAAAAATAAAAGAAAAAAAGAAACAAAAGTCCAAAAAGGAGCTATTTGGTTCTGTATTAACTTTGCTGATTATGTTATAAAGGATAATTGGATTAATTTTGATCATTCTGTAAACTCTAATAATTCTCAAATTTTAAGCATGTTTTGGCAATAAAATTATATATAAAAAATAAATAAAATAAAATTTAAAAAAAGATCACATGAAAAAAAATAAATAAATAAAATAAAAAATAAAATAAAAAATCTGCATTATAAAATTATTTACCAAAATAGACTACTTGTTTTTATTAAATTTTTATAGTAATCAAAACAGTTTGAAACAACTCTTTTTTTTTTTCTTCTTGACCACTGGGAACAAAATTTGTTAAACTCAGAATTGGAACCATCCTAGATCTAGAAGTTTATAGTTTCAGGAACAAAACAGTGGGTGAAATGTTTTAGGCAAGAGGCATTTAATACTGTGGCAGCTGAGGAAACTTCACATTGATCAGCAGACCAAGGACAGTGAAGCTAGTTGGAGATAAGGAAGACATGATACAAATTATCTGGCTCCACTACAGCAGCATTCCAGTTATATCAGTCACTCTCCTTATATCTGTTTTACATTTCTAGAATTCTCAATTTCTATCCTACAGCCTATAATATAACCTATCTTCATAAATGATAGCTTAGCCCAGAAATAAGTCCATAAACCTGAACTTTAACCTCTCAAAATAAAGTAGCTATTTTACTTATTTCTTCATTTTGTCAGTGATCTTTACTCTCCCTAAAACCATAGACGGGTACCAAATGCCTGAGAGATGATTTCTCAATATCGTAGAAAGGAAGGCTCTTCAACCACTGTACACACTGTCTCTATATCTTCCTTATTGTCATTCTCCTGTGAACTATTCATTCACCTTTGAATCCCCCAAAACCTAGCATGATGCAAGGTACAGAGCAGATGCTCAGTAAATGTCTTGCTTAATAAACCAGAGAATCTTAGAAATGCTATCAATTACTATACCATGCTGAAATAAAGAATACCATAAAAGGAAAGCAAGTTATATGGTTCAACTACAAGAGAGAATAGTTGCCTTGCTTTAAAAAAAATAAAAAATTACACACACACACACACACACACACACACACACACACACGATTTCAGAAAGGAAGGGAGAGAGGGAGGGAGGGAGACAGACATCAATGATGAGGGAGGAATTATTTATCAGCTGCCTCCTGCACAGCCCACACTGGAAATCAAGCCACAACCCGGGAATGCGTCCTGACCAGGAATCAAACTGTGACCTCCTAGTTCATAGGTCGATGCTCAACCACTGATCATGCTAGCCCAGCATACTTACCTTTCTTTTAATCACTTCATTCTTTCTCTCTGTCATCCTCCCCACCCCCTCTCCCCTCATCTCAGTTCTTCATCAGCAAGACTCTTCAAATATATATGTCAATGCTCTGATAAGCCCTATAAACTATTAGCCTAGCTGAGTATCAGTTATCTATCTTTATAGGTGAATTGGGATTCCAGTCCCACTGTGTGAGGTCCTACAGCCTATTGGCATGATAAATGGACATTAACACAAATCCTCTCACAATCCATATTGGTAGCTCCTAAACTACCCTCCATCAACAGGAGAAAATGTCACTTATATGTATAAGTCAAAATACCTAGAATCAACACTGAAGGCAGAATGTTGCCCAAACTTTAGAAGACAGAAAGTAACACCTTAAAGTAGAATTATAACTATTAGCAAGAACAAATACACAAACACCCTGAAGAGACTTCCGACTGACTAAAAAGTGTGTGTGTTTTTATTTGTGGGGTTTTTTTGTTTGTTTGTTTTGGTTTTTTTGCCCCAAATCATTTCCTATTAGGAAACTACTTTTTCAGCAGCTAAATAAAAACATTACCAAATCATTTTGCATAATAAATTTTAACCTCATTCTGACCTTCCACATAAAGCAAACAAACCTCTCTATCCAATAAGATCCCATCTGAACTATGTAAGGTGATAAACAATACCTTAATTGCTTTTATTTACAGGACTTTGAAACTATTCTGGGCTGACGTCACTGACTCAAGGTCACATTACAAAAAAGTAAAATGTATGTCCAGCCAGCATGGTTCAGTGATTGAGCATCAACCTATGTACCAGGAGTTCAAGGTTCGTTTCCCAGTCAGGGCATATGCCCGGGGTTGTGGGCTCTATCCCCAGAGTCGGGTGTGCAGGAGGCAGCTGATCAATGATTCTCTTTCACCATCGATGTTTCTCTCTTTTCCTCTCTCTCCCTTCTAAAAAAAAAAAAAAAAAAAAAAAAAAAAAATTTAAAGACAAGGAAAATGATGCAATATACCCAGGAGGAATGATCTACTTAAGACAGTGTGGTAGCACCTTCTCCCTCTCTCATTAGGAGACACCAAATGCTTAGTGCAGTTAACAGGTTCATCTCTATTTGAAATGTATTACATATATACACATTAATTTTATAAATATAAATATGTACTAAGACTATAAATTTAAATAAGTTTATCACATATTATGGCTTCCTTATTAACACCAATCTGCCTGAATAGAGACAAATGACATTTAAAATCAAAACATGAAACAGGGCAATTCTTTTTTTTCCAGTGTCTCATAAAAATTGCTAACAACTAAAATTCAGGTTATGAAAGGTTATGAAGCTATAAAAAATTTTAGGACAGGAACTGCAAAAACAGCATCCCAAGTAGACTTTTGATGGTTCAACTTACAATTTTTTTTACTTTACTATGGTGCAAAAGCTAAATGCATTCAGTAGAAACCATACATCAAATTTTGAATTTTGGTATTTTCCTGGGCTAATGATTCGCTGTATGATACTCTCTCCCTTGTGACAATGGACAGTGGCAGTGGGCTGCAGCTCCCAGTCGGCCAGCCATCAACGGTAAACAACTGGTACTTTACAGTGTACTGTGCTGGCAGCATTTTTTTGGATATTGTGTTTTGTTTTCACATCCCATCAGGTCTACAAAATGTCCATTTATGTCTTCTGCTTCTAGTGGGAAAAGGAGGAAGGCAATGACTTTTGAGATGAAACTCAAGATAATGCCCAACTGCAGGCTAATGGAAGTGTTTTGTGCACATTAAAGGTAGGTTAGACTAAACTATGGTGATTGGTAGATTAGGAATTACATATATTTTCAACTTAACGATGGGTTTTTCAGAATGCAACATCATCATTAAGTTGAAAAGCATCTGTATATTAAGAGTTTCTGCTTTTTTTTTTTTAACCTTAACAAGCATATGCCAAGGAATTTGCTTAGAGGAGCAAAAGACTTAACATGCCTCAAAGCCAATAATGTCAGATCAGTAAAACTAAGTTAGCACAATAAAATGACGGAAATTAACTACCAGAGATTAAAAAAAACAAGTATTTTTTCAAAAACCTCAGAATATAACAAAACACACAAATACAAGCTAACTCTACAAAATATTTCCCTTCAGTTTAGTACTAAAATTCTAACACAAATGATGTATTATTGGCACTTGAGTTTACTGGAGAAAAGGGAAGGAAACTATAAAAAATGGAATCTAGGTTACACTAAAAATGTTTGTCATAATGGTACAAATGTAGAATGCCAAATTTTTTTTAGGTTTATTATATCACCAGGAAATTCATTTAAAAAGTATATGTCCATTAAATTAGATAAATTTCCATTACTTAATTTACTACACAAGTACTTTTATACTACTCAGGCCAATCTTTTGCAATTTAGAAATGATTTAATGAAAGAGAAACAATGATATTTTAAAATTTATGCTTTTATACCTTCTTTCCCTTGGTAGAAGGGCAAGACCTTTATCGTGTAAATCTATAATGGATCCAAATCATTTCATTTGATGCTACTCCACAAAGAACACAGGATGTATACATATTTAAGTGGCACAATCCTAAATAAACTCCAATGGCATGATGTTACTTTGTCTTTTCTAAATGAGAAATAAAACACCTCAATTTCTTTTTATAAGTTAAGCCAATCTCCTTTGGAATTTCTCAGTAGTAAAATAAAAATATTTTTAAAGGTACTAGTTACTATTATAAATCACATGTGATGTTCAGTGACCATATCCTCTTTAGATATTTTAATATTCTTTCTTTAAAAAGCAATTCAAGGTCTAATACA